TCACTAATTATTGCATTTCAATACTGCTACCTCTTCATTACCACTTCATGTGACACAGATTACTGATAAATTCCTTTACTATGAGGTCATTCTCCTAAATTAGAAAGAACCAGAGATGAGACACGTAAAACCCAAAGTGAGTTTGTGGATCAGAGTGAGTCACAGAGATCGGACTCCAAAAAACACCTCCCACTGTGTCTATTTTCTAGTTCTAAATTCAAACTTGGATTTAGAATATATGACTTGACTCCTCAACAGTCTTTTAGCTCAGGCGTGGGTTAGGAAGTATACGTCAGAGTGAAGACGGCATGTATGTAGAAAGGTACATTTTGAAGTGGTAGACAAATGCTTACATTTTTCTTTGTCAGGAAGTGGCTGTGGGAGCTGAGAATGTGATGTCTGCTGACAGGGAGTAGGGCTGACACAGTTGTCTCCATAAGCTTCCAGATTCAGTTTTAGATAGTTCTTTCAAACTTTTACATGCCACAGAATCTCCAGCTACACTGTTTCTCAGGTGTGGTGGCTCACGCCTATAATTCCAACACTTTAGCATGCCAAGCAGGGAGGATTGCTTGAGCCCAGGAGTTGAGGCCAGCCTGGTCAACATAGTAAGACCCCCATCTCTGTAAGTAAGTAATAAATAAAAAGATACATAATAAAAATAGATTGTTTTGTGGGGAAATATATTATGTAAATTAAGGGATGATCACCTTTCCAATTTTTTTTGTTTCATCTTTAATTTTTTTTCCAATTTTTTTTAAGAATCTTGAGTAAACAAATTTTAGCTAAGCTTTCAGAATCAATAAGGATTGGGACGGCTTCAAGACTATTGCCTATGAGTTGATTAAATCAGTGCTTTCATTGTTACTCTGCACTGGGGGTAATCATAGCTCCAGGGTTCCTATTTGTTTGCTGGACAAGGGCTTTACATGCATTCTCTCTCTTGGTCCTCCCCATAATCCTGACAGGGAGGAGGCCATATAATCCCTATTTCACACGTGATTTGGAAACCAAGCCTTACAGCAGCTAAATCAATGGCCTGAGATTGCACCACTACTAGTGTCTGAGCTGAGATTACATTCAGCGGTTACTCTCACTAAGTTCTTAATAGTTGTTACAGCCATCCACAGTGTGGTCTAGTTAAACGGATATAGCTTAGATGTTTACAGCACAAAAGCATCTAGTACCAGACTGTGTCTTTCTGTCACATCTGTTAACCATTTGTTTGAGCTTGAAATTCCTCAGGACAGTTGCGGTGTGGTAGGCAGAATAATGCATCCCCTCCTCACCAAGATGTTCTGTCCTAAGCTCCAAAGTCTTTGAATGTTATCTTTTATGACAAAAGGGACTTTGCAGATGTGATTAAGTTAAGGCTCTTGAGAGGGGGGATTATCCTAAACCAACAAGTAGGGTCCAAAATAACCATAATGGTCCTTATAAGTGAAAGATGGAGGCAGGAAAGACAGAGTCAGAGGAAATGTGGTGACTGAAGCAAAGGTCAGAGTGATGCAATTGCTGCCTGGGGCCACAGACCAAAGATTATGGGCAGCCTCTAGAAGTTGGAAAGGCAAAGAGAGTCTCCCTCTACAGTCTCCAAAAGCAATGAAGTCTTGCTGACATTTTGACTTTAGCCCCCCATCAGGCTTATTTCTGCCAGTTGCAGTGGCTCATGCCTGTAATCCCAACTATTCCGGAGGCTGAGGCAGGAGGATCACTTGAGGCCAGGAATTTGAGGCTGCAGTGAGCTCTGATCACACTCTGCACTCCAGCAGCCTAGGTGGGCAACAGAATCAGCGACTATCTCTTTTTAAAAAAACAGACTTATTTCTCTGACCCTGTAAGACAAGAAATTATAAATTTGTGGGTTTTGTTTTCTGTTTTTTGTTTTTTGAGACAGAGTTCCGCACTGTCGCCCAGGTTGGAGGCCAGTGGCACAACCTCAGCTAACTGCAACCTCTGACTCTGACTCTGATTCATGGGTTCAAGTGATTCTCTTGCCTCAGCCTCCCCAGTAGCTGGGATTACAGGCAACTGCCACAATGCCCAGCTAATTTTTTTGTATTTTTAGTAGAGATGGGGTTTCTCCATGTTGGCCAGGCTGGTGTCAAAACCTCCTGAACTCAGGTGATCCACCCGGCTTGGCTTCCCAAAGAGCTGGAATTACAGGTGTGAGCCATCATGCCCAGCAAATTTGTGTTGTTTTAAGCAAGTAATTTTGTGGTAATTTGTTATAGCAATAATCGAACACTAATACATATGGTGTCTGGCACTCAGATCCCTCCATTACACAGGGACCAAAATTCACGCAGCAATGATTGGCAATGCTGCACCTTTACCAAGTGGTGGTAAGTTCTGGTTATTACTCACAGGGGTGAAGACAGAAAGCTGCTACTGGCCCTGAGGTTCTTAGCACCATCCTCACAAGGGCATGTAGAAAGGCCTCGAAATCTTCAGAAGCTTCCTTTTTTTTCTCTTTATACCACTAAGGCATCTTAAATTTATTATTTCAGCATCTGTTAAGCACCACTGTTGTTTAATATGTACAGGTTCCAGAAATTCAAAGATAACTAGGACTCAGATCCTTAAGGAGCTTACAGCTCAGCAGGGTGGCAGAAGACATAAATTATTACAATGTAACAAAATATGTGCAAGACAAAAATATCTTCAGGAAAAGAATCCTAGAGCATGAGAATTACAATCTCTGTCTGGGGAAGGTATGAGGGAATGGGAGGCTTGGAAAGGGGTTGATGTCCGAGCTAGGGGCTAACATGTTTGGAATCCCCAGCTTTGGTGGGAGAGGGTCTGACAACCACTCTAGGTCCCAGTGTCATCAGACCTGGTTTCTGCTGGGGCTGGTGCAAAACTTTGAGGTCGGGAAGGGAAGGAGACCCCAAGATGAAGTGGACAGTGATTTGCTAATAATACCTACACATAGCAGATAATCAGAACTCTGGAGATCCATTCTCCATAACTTCTTGGAAGTTCAACAGATAAAGAAAGTGAAAGGTTTCATGAATTATAATGTGCCAGCTAGACATGAAGTTTTATTCACTTGCTTGGGATTCATGCTTAGACAATGGGAAATTCCTTTTCAATTTTTGTCTCTAAGTGAAGTCTATCTTCCAATTAAGAAAACAAACCCAAGATATAAGATAGAAAAGTAGGTCTATGTTTCAATGCCTAACATGTTCCATTTAAAATACAGTAAATTTTGGCTGAAAGAAGTTATCACACAATCTAGGGCAAACACCATCTCATGATTCTCCATGCCTAACCTTAATCCTGAGACCACCACAAACACACCATTTCCTACTGAACACTGATATACTCAGAAACTGAAATCTAAAGCTGAAAAGGGCCTTAACGATAATTTAATAACAGTTTCTTTTACAGACGAACCCTGAAGCATGGAGGAGTTAAGATTTAAAAAAAAGTTAGAGAAGCTGCCTTGGCGCAGTTTAATGGGCTTTACTAGAAGAGGCTGTGTCGACTTACTTGTCTGTCATAGCTGGAGCTTCATGAAATGACTAAGAGAGTACAATCTATTTCCTATGAAGTCTAAAATGTAAAAGAGTATTACTAAGGAATGCTACCACCTAATTTTTTTTAATCATCATTATTATTTCAACTAGAGTTTCAAAAAGTGATTTTCCAACACTGCGTATCATTTTGTTTTTGCTAGGTAAGTACTATCAACTGGGGCAATCCTTGTAGTGTTTATTCTCATTTAACTCTGAACAACTGGGGATTTTCCAAAAAGGCTCAAAATGTCGAAATCCAGCCTCTTTCGGGGAAACCACAGGTAAATAAGGAAAGACACCTTCGCAGGAGTTCCCCTCACACGCACTCACCCTGGCGCAGGGCCCCACGGAGGCGGTGGAAACGCCCCTCTGGGAGTCCAGCATGTTCTCCCGCCGGCTGACGGGTGGTGCCTGGGGGCTAAAGGCGGCTCTGCCAGACCCCCGGACTCCGCTACCGCCGCGTCGCTCCCCGGGCCTGCAGGACTCGCGCTCTGGGGTCACGTCGAGGACGCGGGCAGCTGGGGGGCCGGGACCGCAAGGCAGAAGGGCCTGCCTGGGAGCTGGCGGCGCCGGCGGGGTACCGGGCGTGCCCACGTGACTGCCCCGCCCGCCGCCTGCGGCCCGCCGAACCCTCCCGCCTCCCTCGGGCTGCAGCTCCCGGCGTGCCCCGCACTCGCCGCTGCCCACCAGCCTGCCCCTCCTTCTCTTCCCAGTGCTACAGAGCCGGAGCCCGAGCTGCCGCCGCAGCCACAGCCGAGGGCACTATGGTAAGAGGGGCGCGCCGGCCGAGAGGCTGCGGCGTGGCGAAAAAAGCCCCCCGCACGGCCCGGGGAGTGAGGCCGCCATTTTAACCTGATTTTGGCCTCCAAGGTGGGCGCATCTGCGCTGCGGCCCCGCTGCTCTCCAGCCTATCGGCCTGCCCTCCCGCCGTGAGGCCGGGCCCCGCTGCTCTTTGGATTTTGCCGGGCGGGAGGGCTCGGGCGCCGGCGCGGGTTGAGGGTAAAGACAGAGCTGCCGGAGGCGCGAGAGGGTCTTCAGACTGCAGCCGCTCGCGCCGCCTTTGGCTTTCGCTTCCTAATTTTATTTAACACGCGGGGCTTTAAAATTGGTATGTGCTGCGAAGGTTGTGTGGGTCGGGGTCTGGACGGCCTGTAATGAAACCCTTACGGGGAGATTAAGGAAGAGGGAAAACACTTTTCTTAAAATGCTTTCTCGCGGTAAAAGCTTTTACACTCGACCCGTTAGTTTTGGAGTGTCTGCATGTGAGCTGTGGGGCCGTGGGCGGTTTGGAGTTTATACTTGATTCTCTTTCCTTATGAGGAAACGTTAGTGGCTAGGATGACTTTAAAGAAAAAAATAGTAGAAGCATTAACTGAAATCCAAAAGTGTTTTTTTAAGGCCAGCCGAGTTGACACAATACAGAAGGTATTTTTGCTGCGGCTCCTGAAGCTCTGACATCACCCAGTGAAATAGGAAACATTTCAGGGATGGGACAACTTGTATTTGTCCCTTTCGCTTCCGCGTCCAAACCCCTTTAAGAAGGATGAATGGGCAGGATGAGTTAGATTCCTTCGCTGTATCGTCTACTGATTCTTAAAATGTGACAAAAAATCTGATTGGACGACTTACATGGTACGGTGCAATTTTTGATGTCCAGACTAAAGTGAGTCTTCTCTAGGAAAACAGTAATTTTGGTTAAAACCAAAATACATGTTCTGAATTAGTGTTCTGTGTTTATTTTCAGGCTTCTGGAGTTACAGTGAATGATGAAGTCATCAAAGTTTTTAATGATATGAAAGTAAGGAAATCTTCTACGCAAGAGGAGATCAAAAAGAGAAAGAAAGCAGTTCTCTTCTGTTTAAGCGATGACAAAAGACAAATAATTGTAGAGGAAGCAAAGCAGATCTTGGTGGGTGACATTGGTGATACTGTAGAGGACCCCTACACATCTTTTGTGAAGTTGCTACCTCTGAATGATTGCCGATATGCTTTGTACGATGCCACATACGAAACAAAAGAGTCTAAGAAAGAAGACCTAGTATTTATATTCTGGTGTGTAAAAACAAAAGAAAAAAGTACTTTTAAAATGCAAGGATTGTTGTTATCATAGTCGGTTATACCTTTGTTTTTCTTATAAGTGGGATTAAACAATTTTTTTTTTCTGTAGGGCTCCTGAAAGTGCACCTTTAAAAAGCAAGATGATTTACGCTAGCTCTAAAGATGCCATTAAAAAGAAATTTACAGGTACAAACTTGAATATTTTGTGCAGAGAAATTACTCTTTATTAATTATAATAAAGTAATAGGATAATGTTTTTTCTTTTAGGTATTAAACATGAGTGGCAAGTAAATGGCTTGGACGATATTAAGGACCGTTCGACACTTGGAGAGAAATTGGGAGGCAATGTAGTAGTTTCACTTGAAGGAAAACCATTGTAAAATGACAGTCAAGTGCCATCTGGATCTTAAGGAGCTTCCATTTCTCTAGCTCAGACCATTGGAATAGTATTAGGTTTCGGTTTTTTTTTTTTTTTTCCCTTTTTCCACTGGGCCCTTCCAACATAATGAAGGAAGTATCATTTATTTAAGCAGCCTATCAGTGATTGCCATTAGACTGTTTAATACTGTTACTTTTACGTAGAACCCAAGGAATGCCTTCCTGTCATATTTTAGCCAAAACAACTGGTTATATGCCTCCCTTGCAGCAGACACTACAATGAATGTGATCATCAATGTGAATAGCTTAGAATACTACAAAGGATAAGCTAACTGAATGCCTTGAAAGTGTTATCCACTGGTCAGATGGTCAACTTTTTTCAGTATTATTTGTAGTTGCACTTGTTTGCAGTTCTGTGAGGCTTGTGCATTCATACACCTCACCTGCCTTGGCAAGCCTATTTTTGTGACATGGCAGCACGGATATAACACTATGCATTAAAAGCACTTTTTGTAACAAGTTTAATACCCTAAAAGGAATGCCAATTAAGTTTTGTTGACTGTGTCATCAACTTATCCTAGTACCTCAGTGTTCATTCCTGTTATCTGCATATCTTCTTAAATAGCTGTTATTAATGCCTATTTGTTTTCCATTGAGTGTACACTACTGAATAAGTGTAGGAGTTCTATGTTTACCATGTGAGTCCTGCAACACTAAAGATATTTTGATTATCAGTCATGATGGCAATTTCTGTATAAAAGAGCCTTAAATGGAACATTGTTTTGAGATCAAACTCCCCACCCTCACAAAAATGGCCACGTTGCAATAAAAATTGTGGCATATTACAGAACGTTGCCTTGTTTTCCTTGGAAATTTTGCAAAATGTTATGTGAAACAACTTCTAGGGTAAGAACAGCTATTAATCTCTGCACTGGTCATTTGAGAATTTTTTTGTATAACATTCATGTGTGATATTTTCCAGATTTGTTGGATTTATTTGGTTTAAAAAATATTCTGTCTTAAAGCCAACTAATATAAAATACCATTGTTAAAGAATGGTACTTTTATAAACATTAGTGTATTTATTTCCTTATGTGTTAATATGAAGATCAGAAATTATTTTTTTCACTTTGGCATAAATACTTTTCAATATCTGATTTCTCTGGATAAATTAGCATAGTTATTTTTTATTTACATTTACATTTATAAGTAGTTGTATAGTAGCAGGAAGCTCTCATTGCTTATTTGGTCAAAATGAAAATATTTGTAAAATGTCCTTCCACATTTAATATTTCTGATGTTTTGGAACAGTCATTTCACCTATTTCTGAATATATTTTGCAAATTGAATTGGAATAGGAATTGATAAAGCAGTCTTAAATATTAGTAGTGGGATTTGGCTGTGGTCAAGGCTGTGCTCCTTATAGAGAATTTGATCTGTTCCGTGTGAGCGGTTTGCTGTTAGCCAGGGCTATTTATGGCAAACACATGCTTTTGTATCTTGTCATAGTTATCCACAAATGGCAAAACTGGACTTGATTCTACTGGTATGCAAAACAGGCATGCTAGTAAGCAGTCAGTCATGGCTCAGAAACCCATAGCTCTGAGGAATGCTTTTATCAGAAAACAGGAAAGAAAATATCCCTTAAAAAATTTTTTTTAATGTGTGGAAATAATTTGAGAATGATTAGGTTTTTTTCCATATTTTTGAAAGGTTTTTCAGACATGAACATTAAAAATAGGGTTTAAATGTCTAGGCGTCCACTTAAAATTATATGAATGGTTTGGGATCTTTTTGCACTGAGCAATTTTATTTCAGGCTTCCAGCTGCCCCTGTGAGTTTTCCTGGACATTTCGACGGTTTTTGTGGTAAGGCCAAACTCTAATAAGCAAAAAGAATAATGACATATACTAAACAATATGCGTAACCGATACTTGCACCATGGAATTTTTCATTTATTTCCTCATACTTTTAAAAAGTAAGGGACTATAAATCAGTTATGTAGTATCTTTTGTTTCTATAGCTGATTCCTTGACTTTCTTGTATGCCTCACTAGTAATTTCAGAGATTAAATATTGCTTTAAACTGTGATACTTTGATTTGCTAGATTGACAAAACTGATATTAATAGAGTTAATTTCATCTTTGAAATATATCTTTGTGCATAGAGCCAAAAAAAGATAAAATTAATAGTTCACTTGTTATTTGAGATTAATTTGGCATTTGAAATGATTATTTTCTTTTAGAATCATTTATAATGAATCAGTGTTCCAGTTAGCTTTAAAAGGTATACGGTGCTAATTAGTAAAATATTGAAGGCAATATTTTACTGCTAGCTTGCAAAGTTACGAGTTTAAAAAATAAAATATATGAAAATATTTAAAGCTGTTGAGATGTGTTTACTTATACTGCAGAACATTAAAAGTTTAAAAACTGGTATTTCAGATCAAAAAGGCATTATTATCTTCAGTTTTTTAGGATTTTAGTTAATACTTTGTCATTTATTGATACCAATTTTCCTTGAAAACTGAGTATTATAGCAATTAATTTTAGCATTTTCAGACAAATGGGAACAGTTGGCATGTGGCCCAAACTGGCTTTCAGCTGTCATTTTCCATCATTATCTAAAATAGTGTGGCCAGCATTGTGTATTGAAATGTGCCTTCTTCGTAGATTGGAAAAGAAGGCTCTTACTGGGTTTGAGTTTCTCTGATACAGAACATTTGTAGCAGCTAATCTATGGAATCTGACAAATAAACTTTGGGAGGAAGTTCTTTTAAAATTATTTTCTTCATAAGGAATAATCTCAACAATGGTAAATCATCGAGAGGTTGAGAACACTTCATTAGGTTTGCCACTCAAAAAACAACCTCATTCTGCTCTTCATAGGTCTGTTTTTGCTTGCAAATTTAATAGTAAGAGATGCAAAACAACATGAATGTTCATTTTTCTATGAATAGTATTAAAGCTACTAAGGATTTGCAGGCAGGTGCCAGTGAATGTTGCCTTTTTTTTTGTTGGTTGGTTTTGTTTGTTTGTTTGTTTGGACAGGGTCTCACCCTATTGCCCAGGCTGGAATTCAGCTCACTTCAACCTCAACCTCCCCAGCTCAGATGATTCTACCACCTCAGCCTCCCAAGTAGCTGAGACTATAGAGGTGTACCACCATGCCTAATTATTTTCTTTTACTTTGTTTTATTTTTGTGTCTGTTTTGTAGAGACTCAGTTTTGCCATGTTGCCCAGGCTGATCTCCAACTCCTGGGCTCAAGCTCTGCTCCCACCTCAGCCTCTCAAAAGTGCTAGGATTGCATGTGTGAGCCACCGCACTCTGCCCAAATACTGCTTTTGAAGATAGCATGAGTTTATTGATGTTCTCTGTCTCCTCTCAGCCCATAAAGAAGTCTGCGGTTTTTCTTCTGCTCTGGAGCATCCAACTAATTGCTTTATTTCCATGTAGAATTGGAAGAATCATCCCTCCACTTAAATTTCCTATCATAGTGCAGTTGGGCAAATTAAATCTCTGAGCCTCAGTTTCTTTTTTCTTTTTTTTTTTTTTGAGAGTCTTGCTCTGTTGCCAGGCACCAGGGTGGAATGCAGTGGCACAATCTCGGCTCACTGCAACCTCCACCTCCTGGGTTCAAGCAATTCTGCCTCAACCTCCCAAGTAGCTGGGACTACAGGCACATGCCATCACACCCAGCTAATTTTTGTATTTTTAGTAGAGACGGAGTTTCACCATGTTGGCCAGGATGGTCTCGATCTCGACCTGGTGATCCGCCCGCCTCGGCCTCCCAAAGTGCTGGGATTACAGGCTTGAGCCACCGCGCCCGGCCTGAGCCTCAGTTTCTTAACCCGTCGTATGGGAATGATAATATCTGTCTACCATATATTTCCTGAGCACTAAATATGGAAATGGTTTTTGAAAACAGGAAAATGCTATGTAAATACAATCTGCTTAAACTACTCATTCCTAATAACTGTATATAAGTAGATAAATGTTTTTGTTAAAAGTAAGATGTATTATAAACCATTGAACCTCTATTTTTGTAACTTCCGTGTGTGTGTGTGTGTGTGTGTGTGTATTTTAGACAGGGTCTCACTGTTGCCCAGGCTAGAGTGCAGTGGCACAATCATAGCTCACTATAACCCTGAACTCCTGGGCTCAGATGACCTCCCATCTCAACCCTGCTGGGATTATAGACATGCACCACCATGCCCAGCTAATTTTTTTTTTTTTTTTTTTTTTTTGAGACAGAGTCTCACTGTTATCACACAGGCTGGAGTACAGTGTCGTGATCTCAGCTCACCGCAACCTCCGCCTCCTGGGTTCAAGCAATTCTGCCTTAGCCTCCTAGATAGCTGGGACTAGAGGCACATGCTACCACACCTAATTTTTGTATTTTTAGTAGAGATGGGGTTTCACCATGTTGGCCAGGCTGGTCTCAAACTCTTGACTTCAGGTGATCTGCCTGCCTCAGCTTCTCAAAGTACTGAGCCACCACACCTGGCCTGCGCAGCTAATTTTTAAAAAAAATTTTGGCAAGACGGGGCCTGATGATGTTGCCTAGGCTAGTCTTGAATTTCTGGCCTTAAGCAATCCTCCCATCTCAGCCTCCCAAAGCACTGGGATTATAGGTGTGAGCCACTGGGCTGAGCCTATTTAGTATATATAGAGATGGGGTTTTACTATGTTGGCCAGGCTGGTCTTGAACTCCGGACTCAGGAGATACGGCCACCTCCACCTCTTAAAGTGCTGGGATAACAGGCATGAGCCACTGGGCCAGCCCTATTTAGTCTATTTTTAAAGCAGCATCTTTCAAGAATATTTGAAAAACAGTCTTACGAGTTTTTGTTTTCTAAAAAAGCTCACGCTCATAAAAATCTAAAAAGTTTTACATCTCAAAAGACGCTCTGAAATATTTAAGTACCGTCAACTTATGGAATCTGTGGGAAACAAGGATTGTTTAGACACATTTACAGAAAGCTGGTGTCTCTTACTTTTTTTCCAGAAACTTGGATATCTCCCTCCCCTACACATCTTTTTAAGAAGAGATAGTACTTTATGTTACAGCATCTAAGTCCTAGGATTTTGGCATTAGATTGCCTGTTTTTTTACATAGAGCCTTTTAACACATAGTAAATGGTGTTAGACAAATCATATAACCTCTTGGAAGCTTACATCTATAAAATGCAGATAATTTTACTCCATCTCAGGATTGTGAAGATAACTGAAAGTACTTGGAATAGTTCCTAGCACATAATAAGTGCTCAGTAGGATAATCCTAAGATTTATAATCCAAACCAGAACACTTTTTGAGAATGAAAGGGAGAGCTATTAATTATGCGAAGACAACAGGCTTGAGATAGGCCAATCTCAAGCAAACCAAGAGGTGTGGTTCAGAAGTATAGGCTAGTATTAAAATGTAATACTCAAATAGAATGAACTGGCTGGGCACAGTGGCTCACACTTGTAATTGCAGCACTTTGGGAGGCCGAGGCAGTGGATCACGAGATCAGGAGTTCAAGACCAGCCTGGCCAACATGGTGAAACCCCATTTCTACTAAAATTAGAAAAATTAGCTGGGCATGGTGCCAGGCACCTGTAATACCAGATACTCGGGAGGCTGAGGCAGAGAATTGCTTGAATCTGGGTGGCGGAGGTTGCAGTGAGTGGAGATCGTGCCACTGCACTCCAGCCTGGGCAACAGAGCAAGACTGTGTCTCAGAAAAATAGAATGAACTATAAAGACTCAAGATCATTTAATTATATAAAGGATTAGCATACTGACTTGAGGATCTCATGAAGTATATGAGTATTAAGTAAACCTCGGAAAGATTAAATTTGACTTT